TTTACTACTGATCACAGAACTGTGTTTCACTGACAAGATACGCGCATGAATATCGCAGCTTTTGCCCTAATATCAATTGCGATTTATCGGGATTTATTGTGCAGCCCTACCTACAACTCTGTTTCTATTCAGTACGGTTCACTCGGATAGCGTTAGTTGCTAACGCTATGGGGAAACTGTTTTGTCTCAGTGAATTACGGCTCTGTGTAGTAAATGCTGCTCCATCTGAAAGCATGTGAAAATACCACATTTAATAACATGTTTTTACTCCAAACTCACTTCATAATGTCAGTCAAGTGTTTAAAAAAAAAATCTTTCTGTGAGATGTTGTGGCTTCTTACACAGAATAAGGCACACAACATATTTCATAGTATTCTATTAAAGGCATTGCATTATTATATAATTTATTATAAGGAAAATTATAATAAGAAGAACTCAAATAAACCATATATTGTTATAGTAGTTTGTTTATTAGTCACGTTGAATCAATGAAAGCAGTTAAATCTTCTGTTTATTCAGCTGCAGCAATAGGGATTTCCTGAATTTCTTCTGCATGGCGTATTTGGAATTTGTGCACGAGAGCGCTCTCTGGCTTTCGGATAGAGATTTACTACTGATCACAGAACTGTGTTTCACTGACAAGATACGCGCATGAATATCGCAGCTTTTGCCCTAATATCAATTGCGATTTATCGGGATTTATTGTGCAGCCCTACCTACAACTCTGTTTCTATTCAGTACGGTTCACTCGGATAGCGTTAGTTGCTAACGCTATGGGGAAACTGTTTTGTCTGAATACTTAAGCCTGATTTGTTCATATCTGTGCACCTGCACAGACAAATGGCATTTCAGCTCAGCCAAAAAAAAAGCCTATATAAAAAAAGCCTACATATGTGGGCTTCCATACCGCATAGTTCTAGGAACTAGCCAGCAGGGTTCCTACAGAACTAATTTTCTCACTGGGCCATTTTTACTGGTTGCATTCGCAAAAGTAGGAACTCTGAAGCAGCCGATAGCGGCGTCTTTATGCGCTGCATTTACAAACGTCAACAACCAGCGGATGTACGACGCTGTGATCGGAGCTCTGTTTGTAGTGTGTCATGGTTTTTGTGATAACTGAGGTGGAATGTAAACGCATTATTTATGTGATTGAAAGAGCAAAAAGTAGGGGTGGGAATCACCAGAGGCCTCACGATACTTGTGTCACGATACAATATTATTGCGATTTTAAATATATTGCGATATTCTGCGATATATTGCAATTTATTACCTTTTTCCAACTTCAAATTATGTCCCCAAAGGAAAACTGACAACATCTGTTTTAACTAAAAAGAAACATTTCTCAGTTTGTTTAGCTCACTTCAGTTTTATTGTTGCAGTGCAAAATGGGATTGTCAAGCAGACAAACTGACCAACACTTTCATGAAAACCTGTCATAAATGTTGTATGCACCTGGCAAACTCAACTATTTGTATTACAGTCTAGTCTAGTCCACCTTAATTAAATGTAAACAGGTATGCACTGCTGTGCTACTACAGGTATTTTGAACAGTGCAACTTGAAATTGAACTAAAAAGTTGTGCAGACCCTTCAGCAATTGGGGCATTTGAAAGTAAATTACTGTTAAATTTAAATTAAATTAAATAAAACATGTAGTCTTACATCTAGGGATGCCATTTATATTAAACTGCACACTTTGTAAATAACATATCTGCACACTAATAAACATATCTGTACATTTATCTAAACAAATCATTTTTTCCTATACTTCTATTTCTGTACATAGTACATTATTACATTTTTCTAATTTTTCTTTTTTTATTGTATTAGTGTTATATTACATCCCTACTGTGTTATTCCTATGTATGTCTGCACTATCATGTATGTCTGCACTATGTTTGTACTTTCTTCTACACTGGAAGCTCCTGTCGTCAAGTCAAATTCCTTGTGTGTGTAAACATACTTGGTAATAAAGCTCTTCTGATTCTGATACTGCATATAAATTCTGTCAGCGCGTTATTTGAGCAGACTTTGCTTTTCCGATGAGCATGAGCGGTACACGAGCGGAATGCACATTCATAGATCGGAATTTTGAGCGGAGCGTCAAACCGCGCAGTGACGAGGAGAGTGAAATATGTGCGATTGTAAAGAAATTGATTTTATTATTCTACCAAATAGTATAATAAAAGATCGATACTTGGCGTCCATGTATCGATACAGTATTGCCGCGGAAAATATCGCGATACTTTGCTGTATCAATTTTTTTTCCCCCACCCCTAGCAAAAAGTGGGGTTTATGAGATGAAATCTCCTATGACTTGCAGCGTTACATTGAAGCTGAGAAAAGAACACAGTGCTGCAGATGACAGGTTAATGTTGTTATCACTGTTTTTCATATTTGTGGAGTAATTCTCTTTACCTGGCTTTTTAAAAATTCTGGATGCCGGTGATTGGCCAAACGCACGCTTTCGTCACTGATAGTTCCTATAGTGCTTGGTTAGACCCTATTCTGAAGTAGGAGCTAATTTAGTTCCCCCAAACGAGTTCCTAGAACTAAAATTGCTCCTAGTACCTGTGGTGAGAACATGCTGAGAAGCGGATACTTCTGCCATTAGTTCTAGGAACTATGAAAAGGTTCCTTTGGTGGGAAAGCCCCTTAAGTCACGCTGAAATCCCATATCATCAATTTTTCTCCTTCAGTGCAAAGATCATCTCCTCACTGATGCTGAAGAAAATGAAAAAAGGAAGCTTTTCTGCTCACTGTGGAAAAGCTTCAGCAGTGGATTAATGGTGCTAACAGCACTGCAGCTGAGGCTAAAATAGCATATTTCAATCTAAAAATTGTTGTTTGCACAAGTGTGGCACTTGCAGGGCTTTCCTGCATCCATCATATGAAGACTATCATGTCGCTTGCATGAGACGTGCTCATCAAGGTGGATCGCTCATTGCAAGAGCATGCTTCTCTCCTCACTGCTTTCACAGCCCAGTTTTTGTAAGGAAAAGCACTCCGCCCCTTGTGCTCTACCGTTCTCTTACTCTCAGGAGTCTAAGATGAAGAAACAGTGGAGTCACTGGGCTGAATGAATGGGACTGAGTGACCTCACACTGGACCATATACCGTGTGCATCTCTTTCTCTACAGCTAGGGGATTCCCTAGTGCTTTTCTCCCACGAAAACAAATGCCCTTGAATGTGGCGATTAATTTTGTCTCTTTGAAGGTTCCAAAAAGGACTTTTCTAATAAACACTAATGTTATTGACAGTTTCTATGCAGAGGAATAGTGTGTCCACCGTGGAGGACTCTACCCCCTAACCTAAGGCCCCCCCCACCCATTTTTTGCATTTTATTTGATAGGACAGTGAGTAGGGTTTGTGAGTAGTGAGAAGGACAGATTTGACAGGAAGTGAGTAAGAGATCGAGAAAGAGAGGGGGATGGGATTGGGAAAGGTCTGTAAGCCAGGATTCAAACTCCAGATGCCTGAAGCGCTACTGTGCCAAATGTCGGGTGTGCTGCCCATGATGCTGTTGGCATCGAAACATTTGTCTGAATTTAACAGAGCTCAAGGACGCCAATAAGTTGGTCCTCCTCGACTCCCCTGTCTCTCCGTCGGGACTATTGGTTCTGCTTTGGATGGTTTTGCTGAATGTTTCACAGCTAGAAATCATCGCAAGTGGAGCACCAATTCCTTCATTAATGGCTAGTTCTTTTGCTGCCTCAAGTCATCCCAAGCTGTCATTTATTCAGCAGCACTCCAGGCCAGCATCTGCTCAGCCCCAGCCTAACACTTCATGGTGGCTTAGAAGTCATCACAAGCGATGTGTCATTACTCTCCAAGTGAGTCAATTCTTCTGATGCTTCCAGTCACCCCAAAATGTCTTGACTCAGCAATGCCCTACACCATTGTCAGTGCCTGCACCAAGCCAGAGGCGGAACCTGAAGTTAAACGAGGCTTCTGCACAGCTAAATGCTATCCCTTCCCAAAATACCAGGGGCTCTACCCTAAGCTAGAGCTGGACCATGAGCAGCCCCAGCAGCTTTGACGCTCCAAGACTGAGGAGGTTAAATTCTGTCAAGGCTGGACTACCCTCAAACCCCGTCGCTTCGGGGCATGGTTTACACTTTGGTCTTGGACAACGATGCCAACATCCTCCGAGTCCAAACCTGCTAGCAAAGTTTGCTGTGAGTTGAGCTTTTATGGTCACTACACTTGAAGCAAATCTTCTTGCGAATCCTCCCAGGGGATTGGTTTTATTGGTGGACCTGAAAGAGACGTAATTTTATATTCAAATAGCCCCCAACACAGATCATTCTTGAGATTCACGTTTGAGAGCGTGGCTTACCGATATACAGTCTTTCAGTCTGTTCCATCCTAGAGTTTGTCCATGGTACTGAGCTAGTCAAAATGACCAACCTTCGGTCTCTCTTGCTGATGACTGCCCTCCTCCTGGCTTTGGGTTTGGTCCAGCTGACAGTAAAGTTTACGGCTGAGAATAAGCTATGTGCCTAAGGTGCTTTCAACCCATTTCAGAGCACAAGTTTTAACTCTCTCTGCTCTTCCTCCCTTCCTTAGTAACTAACACAATGCTCATTCCCGTTATGTCAGGAAACCAGTGTTACATTAGTAACCAGTATAGTTTTCTTTTACTTGTTCTTTTTTTCAACATATGAAAGGTAGTTTGAGAAACATTCATACTGATTGCAAACATCACAAGGTCTGAAAAAATATTATCTGAACAGTTTCATTTTTACATTTATCTATATCTGGTTCACAATTTTTGCAACCATATTTTGAAAATTTGAAAATTTTTAGTAATAGTTCTCACTGCAAAACCTGTGCCTGTAATGTTTTTAAAACAATAATTGGAAATAAGTGTAATGCATCAAAATGTTTACTTTCAACAGCTTTCTCAAGTTTTGCATCTCCTTTTCCTTTCACATTTTTTTTTCTTTTAAGATTTTCTGAAAACTTTTTTTCACTAAAGTTTTTTACTTTAATTTTAGACCTGATAGAACAGAACAAGGAGATTGAAGAGGGGGAGAACCATTATGTCAAAACTGAAGAGATATCCTGGAAATCCTCATTGAAAAGAAGAGGCAAAATATGGCCTCAGTGTGAAAAGAGTCCCTCATGCAAGCAAAATCCTGATATTCACGTACAATTTCATCTTGAAGGGAAGTTGTACGCATGTGATCAGTGTGAAAAGACTTTCACAATAAAAGGAAACCTTACAAAACACATGAATATCCACACTGGAGAGAAGCCATACACATGTGGTCAGTGTGGAAAGAGCTTCAGACTAAAGGTAATCCTTAAAAAACACATGAATATCCACGCTGGGAAGAAGCCGTACACATGCGGTCAATGTGGGAAGAGCTTCAGACTAAAAGCTACTCTTAACACACACCTAAAAACCCACACTGGAGAGAAGCCGTACACATGTGATCAGTGTGGGAAGAGTTTCTCACAAAAAGAATACCGTGATGCACACCTAAAAACCCACACTGGAGAGAAGCCGTACACATGTGATCAGTGTGGGAAGAGTTTCTCACAAAAAGAATACCGTGATGCACACCTAAAAACCCACACTGGAGAGAAGCCGTACACATGTGATCAGTGTGGGAAGAGTTTCAGAAAATATGGTGGTTTTAAAAAACATCTGCTTACTCATTCTAGAGAAAGACTAGAAAACTGTGACCAAAGCAGTAGAAAATTTTTTAGGGCACATTTCCTGAAGGACCACCTGAAAGTTCATACAAAGGAGAAGCCTTACATATGTTATTTATGTGGAAAGAGTTTTAGTCAGATGGTTGCATTAAAGATACATCAGAAAAGACACAGCGGAGTGAAGGATCATGCTTGCTCTGAGTGTGGGAAGACTTTTTTTACGTATGGTGCACTGAAAGTGCACAAGACAGTTCACACAACAGAAACACCTTACAAGTGTTCACACTGTGACAAGAGCTTCAAACGGTCAACATATCTGCAAATACATGAGAGGATCCACACTGGAGAGAAGCCGTATACATGTGATCAATGTGGGAAGAGTTTTAGACTAAAAGAAATGTTTAATCAACACATGAATATCCACACTGTAGAGAAGCTACACACATGTGATCACTGTGGGAAGAATTTTGGACAAAAAGGAAACCTTAACAAACATATGAAAATCCACACTGGAGAGAAGCTACATACATGTGATCAGTGTGGGAAGGGTTTCGTAAAAAAAGATAACCTTAAAGAACACATGAAAGTCCACACTGGAGAGAGGCCACACACATGTGATCAGTGTGGCAGGAGTTTCACACAAAAAGGAAGCCTTTTCAAACACATGAAAAGCCACACTGGGGAGAAGCCACACACTTGTGATCAGTGTGGGAAGAGTTTCACATTAAAAGAAACCCTTAATGATCACATGAGGATCCACACTACAGAAACACCTTACAAGTGTTCACTCTGTGACAAGAGATTCAAACGGTCAAAATATATGAAAATACATGAGAGGATCCACAATGGAAAGAAGCCGTATACATGTGATCAGTGTGGGAAGAGTTTTGCACAAAAAGGAAACCTTAACAAACACATAAAAATCCACACTGGTGAAAAGCTGCAGACATGTGATCAGTGTGGGAAGAGTTTCACAAAATCAAGTGTTTTTAAAGTTCATCTGCGTACTCATTCTAGAAAAAGACAATATGACTGTGACCAGTGTGGTAAACATTTTTTTACGACAGGTGCCCTGAAGAAGCACCTGAAAGTTCATACAAAGGAAAACCCTCATTTGTGTTCTTTGTGTGGAAAGAGTTTTAGTGAGCTGGCTGCTTTAAATTATCACCAGAAAAGACACAGAGATATGAAGGATCATATTTGCTCTGAGTGTGGGAAGGCTTTTTTTACTGATAGTGAAGTGAAACAGCACCAGACAGTTCACACTACAGAAACACCTTACAAGTGTTCACACTGTGACAAGAAATTCAAACATTCAACACATCTACAAATACATGAGAAGATCCACACTGGAGAGAAGCCGTATCACTGCCATTCATGTGGGAAGAGATTCACTCAATTATATTCTTTAATCTGTCATAAATTACATGTCTGCATGTCTGAAATTACAGTAAGTAGTTCAAGTTCTGATCCTGTACTTCCAGGTGTGATGGTTAATATTGATTAATCAGAGATTATTAGAATGATTAATCAACTAACCTTTGAATATTTCACAGATTGATCAGTCGCTTTTATTGATTATTCAACTTTTGGAGTTTGTTAAAATGTTGAGTTATATCCATTCTAACTAATAAATAAAACAAGGAAATCACTTCGGTTTTTGAAAATGTCTTTTTAATAAACTGAGTAAATTGAATTATTGTCCTCTTTAGGTATTCTGTAATACTCAGAAGTCATCAATACACCAACTTTGCTTAGAACTGAAACACAAAAACAAAAGTGCATTTCACAACACATAGGAGGCTAAAATATTAATCTACAAACAAATCATTATTTACATCCCTTTGTGAGTGCTGTGGTCAGCAATCTTGAGAACACTGAGGCTTGCGGGCTTGAGAGCATAGGCTGAGGATCCTCCACACTGGATACTAGTCTTGTCCACGTTGAGACGGATCCAGTGGTAGCCATGATGGCTGGAGTCCGTGGACCAAGCTCTGTGGGGGAAAGTTTAGGGGTGGTTCCTCCTCTACCTGTCCTACTGTGACAGGAGATCTACACAGCTGTAGGGCTAAGTCCACATATTGAGCCATGGTCCACCTGCTATCACCCCCTGGCATCAGTGTCATTGTCCTGTCCGCCCCAAAAACAGTCCAGTAAAATGACGTCTGCCAATTGCGAGATATGAGAATATGCAAAAAAATATATATACATTTTTTTTGTATCTTATACATATTTTTCAATAGGGTGGTCATCTTGAAAAATTGAACAGAGTGCTCAGACAGAGCCAATTACCCCCTGCTAAGATCCATTGTGGGTCAGTCGTTCTGTAAGAAGGATTGGAGAAAGAAGGCTGAGGTGAGGATCTAAATGCAGGGGCACTTTAAAGGGGTCATCGGATGCCCCTTTTCCAGAATATGATTCTTTAGGGTCTTAATGAAAAGTCTGTAACATAGTTTGGTTAAAATTTCTCAATGGTAGTGTAAAAAACACCTTTTTTTACCCTGACAAAATTTTGTAGCATTTTCCTTTAAATGCAAATGAGCTCTGCTGACCCCGCCCCTCTCTTCCGAGCCGCTCTCTGAGGGACTGTTTACTTTAGCCACATTCATCGTGAAACTTGCTAATTAGAACATTATTAGGAAAGGCGATTTGCAAAGATTCATTATTTGCAAAGATTAAAAAACCTTACACTCACTTCTTATAGGTGAAGCTGGATCAGGAATGGTTCGCACGAACATAGATGCATTTAGGTAGATTGGGGGCGCATTCCCTTCAGAAAAAAGAAAAAAAAACGTAATCCACTGCGTCTTCAGCGGCTCAGATGTCGGGAGCCGTTTTTGTAGCATTTTCCTTTAAATGTTAATGAGCTCTGCTGACCCCGCCCCTCTCTTCCGAGCTGCTCTCAGAGAGACTGTTTGCTTTAGCCGCATTCATCGTCACCTCAATCAATTAGCACATTATTAGGAAAGGCGATTTGCAAAGATTCATTAAAAAACCTTATACTCACTTTTTCTGGAGGTGAAGCTGAATCACGAATGATTCGCACGAACATTAACTCATTTAGGTAGATTGGGGGCGCATTCCTTTCAAAAACAAACGTACTTCACAGCGTCTTCAGCAGCTCAGATGTCGGGAGTAAATGACTACTGCTATGTTCAGTTCATTATTACATTCAACAACAAAACACCTCAGTCGCTTAGGAGACATTCTTGTGTACATCTTCTCCGGTGGTGAAACAATGGCGGACTGATGACAGCTCACTCAGGGAGGGTCTAAGGTAAGACACCAGTCCAGTCTGTGCTGAAACGCTACTGTCAATCAAACAATCATGGAAGGGGCCTGTCTGTGTGACGTCAACACTTCTAAGACTAACAGTGTTGAGCTATATAACAATGGTTAGTTTTGTAATCAGACCGTTGCTCACCTGTCTAATAAAATGCATAGTATATGAAAGCGTCTTTGGTGTTTCTATGGTTTCTACAAAGTAAAACTGGAAATCGAGGGCAACATGAGAATGGCGTCTTTGAAGGTGATGCAGTGACAAAGGATGGGGCACTAGTTACAATTGCTTATTTCTCTGGATTTAAACATTCATGGAAACATTTGGGATATAATGTAAGTACACAAGTCAACTAAATATATAACATTGTTCTAGTGGTTTTAGGAAAATTGATTGACTAATACGTAATCTGCGTAAAATTAATTTGCAAGTAATATTTTTGCTGAGATCACTGCTGGCTACTACATATATTTACATTATGATGTAAATTTGCATGTAATGCCTTTTTGTTGCTTGTTTTGCAATCACATCTTTTGTTATGTTGATGTAATAAACTGAGATGATGCACATCAAAGTTTTATTGAAGATTTGAAAGAAGCCGTCTGCTCTCTATAGCTCTCTCTGTACTTCGATGTCACACACCGATCGGTCTAGTGGAGAGGCCATGCTCAGTGACTCCATTTCGTCATCGAGTCATGATTTTAGCCCTGCCTAAAGAATCCTGAACACGAAAAAGGGTGAAAAACTGTTTAACGGTCTAACTTCACAATTAAGTACATAGATCATAGTACTACATAGTCGTTGCAATATGTTTCAGCAATGCCCTTCTAACATTTATAATGTGTTTCGAAACAATTCTCAGAATTGACTTTACACAGACTTTGTGTTCACATTAATGAACAGGTTAATTAAAGGGGTCATATGATGCTTTTTTTAAAGATCATTATTTTAAAAGATTGAAGTTGAGCTAATTCACTACATAACCCTTTCTTGCTTTCATTTTAGACCTGATGGAAGAGAGTGAGGAGAGTGAAGAACTGAGTGAGGCAGAGGAGAAACAGCATCATGTCAAAACTAGTAAGAAATCTTTGAGTTGCTCACAGACTAAAAGTAATTTATTGAAAAGAAAAGCCAAAAAGTCTTTCACCTGCCATCAATGTTGGAAGAGTTACACAGTAAAAGGAAGCCTGAAAGTACACATGAGAATCCACACTGGAAAGAATCTGCACACATGTGATCAATGCGGGAAGAGTTTTCCGATAAAAGCCAACCTTAAGGATCACATGAGAATCCACACTGGAGAGAAGCCGTACTCATGTGATCAATGCGGGAAAAGTTTCCCATACATACAGAGTCTTAATATTCACATGAGAGGTCACAGTGGAGAGAAGCCGTACACATGTGATCAATGTGGGAAGAGTTTCATACATAAAGGATCTCTCAAGGAACACATGACAATCCACACTGGAGTGAAACCACACACGTGTGATCAATGTGGGATGAGTTTCAGACAAAAAGGATCTCTTAGTGAACACATGACAATCCATACTGGAGTGAAGCCGTTCGCATGTGATCAGTGTGGAAAGAGTTTCAGAAAGTCTTGCACTTTTAAAATACACCTGCGTCGTCATTCTGGAGAAAGACCATTTACCTGTGATCAGTGCGGTAAACATTTTTTTAGGTCAGATGCGCTGAAGGACCACCTGAAAGTTCATACAAAGGAGAAGCCTTACATGTGTTCTTTGTGTGGAAATAGTTTTAGTCAGTCGGGTACTTTAAAATTACATCAGAAAAGACACAACAGTGTGAAGGATCATATGTGCTTTGATTGTGGGAAGACTTTTGTTAGAGATGCTGAACTGAAACTGCACCAGAGAATGCACAGTGAGGAAAAACCTTTCAATTGTTCAAAATGTGACAAGAGATTCAGTCGGTCAGATTATCTGAAATCACATGAGAGAGTTCACACTGGAGAAAAACCTTACAAGTGTTCACACTGTGACAAGAGATTCATATGGTCAGATCATCTGAAAAAACATGAGAGGATCCACACTGGACAAAAACCCTATCACTGCATTCCATGTGGGAAGAGTTTCACTCATTCATCTTCTTTACTCAGTCATACAAAAGACAAATGTCTGAAATCATGAACTCTGAATATCTGAATTCTTCTTTGGATCCAGCACATTTAAAATGAGACACATGTCCTCACCAAACATGACCCAATAAAGCAAGCAATAAAATCTCTTCTATATAAATCTGCTCTAACCAGCAACAACAAGTGACAGAACAACTAAACATCATCTGAAGGTGTTACAGTGAAATTAAAAGTTAGAGTTTCTCCCAAATCAACAATATCTAAGAAGTTTTATTGTTGTATGAGTTTACTACATGATATAATTTAAATCATGATGCTGTATTATGGTTTTTGCAATTTGTTCAATTTGTATATAATTTTCTTAAAAGATTGAAGTAGAGTGGATTCCAAGGCTCCATCACCTTCTCTTCGCTGCCTTATTATATCCTCTTAGTCCATGTTTAATCACCATTTGTTAATCAGTATTATCTTTTATGCAGTGATTAAAATAAATGTAGAATAGTGTTAGCATGATTTAAGTTGCTTTTGATGCTCTTGTTCCTACGAGAAAACTCTTAGTTCCTTTGCTCTCTTTCATGAAGGAAAGTAAAACATTTTTATACACGTAAATTTTTTTTGTGTGTTTATATCAGCACGTTTCAACAGAAAAGGAGCAGTTGAAATAAAGACATAGCAGTTTGACTTGTTGTGCAACCCTTTCTGTTAATTTTGTTTAATATTATATTTTGTAAATGTTTTGTTGTTGTTGAACAATATTTCATATTTGTTTTAAAAATTTACTGTTGATTTAACCTCCCAGTAATGAAGTTACCACTAGTGCCCTCACTTGCTCGGCGTTTGGTAATCTAAGCCAGGGGTTTTCAACCTTTTAGGGCATGTGCCCCCCAAAGTTTGTCTAATTTCACTCGCGCCCCCCCTCCCCTCCCGCGAGCCCAAAGTAATGCGTGTGCGAACATCATTCACATATTATTTGCTGCGTATCGAGTGTGTAGAATTAATTACATTGAAACAAATATATAACCAGCTTACCTGATTCAGTGTGATGGCTGAGCCTGTCTCTGAGAGCACAACATGCCAATCCGTGGTTGGATTCCAGACATGGCTAACTGTAAATCAACCTCCACTGTGAATAAGCATGAGCGATACTTGCTTTTGATGTACGTATACTCATATGAAGCAGTAAGTGCTTTTACTGGCAGAGTGGTTTGGCTGGTCATAGTTTGTTTTTGACCTGTTAATGCTGATTCTTTACGGCGAAAAAAGTCAACCGGTTTATCTTTTAACATCGGATGTTTGGTTTGTAAATGACGTATCAGTTTCACAGGTTTCAAACTGTCGTTTGCAAGCACCTCTGAACATACAACACACTGTGGACGTGGTTCGTTATTAATTGTGATGCACGTGAATCCATATTTTATGTACTGTTCGTCATACTTCCGTCGCTTTGATGCACACAGGCCTTTGGTTTTTGCAGTTAATCCTCTCTGTGTGGAGATCCCCGTTGACGTGGAGGGTTCGTCATCAGTTTGAAGTCGTAATGCTTCAGACAGGCACTTTTTTGTCAGACGGTTCACCCGTTTTACTTTCACTGGTATTAATCTTAAAAAGCCACCGGTCCATTTTATTTTTTACGTTACTTACTTTTTCTTTAACTCGATCGCACCAACTCTGCTCTAACAGCTGCCTGATAATTAGCTGTGGGACTAATCAGATTGCCCCCTAGTGGATGCCTAAAAAATTGATAGCTCGTCCTCATAATTACTCGAGTGTACGCCTCAGGTTCTCGCGTCCCCCTTGACAGGTGCTGGCGCGCCCCACAGGTTGAAAACCCCTGATCTAAGCCAGTACACAGTGTTTTGCATATGTATACAATCATGAAGTTTAATTTTCTTAACCAACAAGGAGTGATTGTTATATTTTTAATTGGTTACCGGCTCTTTGTGTGTGGTTCCTTCTCTGCTAATGTCTCCACTGCTAAAAGGACATACTATCACAACAAAATTAACAATTCGCCTAACTCTCGCATGCTCCTCCTCCCCCTCCAACAGCTGATGAAATTGCCACGTTCTTCAGTAATAAAATTACAACCATCAGTGCACAATTCTCCACACCACAAACTGTCAAACACATCTTACCAGCAAACATACAGTCATTCACATCCTTTTCTCCACTTTCTGAAGCAGAATTCTCTAAACTCATCCTTTCCAATCATCCTACTACTTGTCAGCTTGATCCTATTCCATCTCATCTCCTTCAAGCCATTTCTCCTGCAGTTGTACCTGCACTCATTCACATAATTAACACATCCCTTCACACCGGTGTTTTTCTCTCAATATTTAAACAGGCTCGTATAACCCCATTACTTAAGAAACCCACTCTTAACCCAACTCTTTTAGAGAACTACAGACCGGTTTCCCTTCTTCCTTTCATTGCAAAACCACTTGAACGAGTTGTGTTAAACCAAGTCTCTGCCTTTCTCACACAGAAAAATCTCCTGGACAGCAACCAGTCTAGCTCGACATTCAACCGAGACTGCCTTGCTCTCAGTTGTTGAAGCTCTAAGACTGGCAAGAGCGGCTTCCAAATCTTCTTTACTTATCATGCTGGATCTGTCCGCTGCTTTTGATTTGATCTTGGAGGGGTGAGGTGTCCAAGTTGCAACATCTAGCTACTGGGGTGCCTCAGGGCTCAGTTCTTGGACCACTTCTCTTCTCTGTCTACATGGCATCACTAGGTTCTGTCATTCAGAAACATGGCTTTTCATATCACTGCTATGCTTGTTCGCATTGTCTAATGTCTAACAGACATTTCTTGCTGGATGAAGGACCATCACCTTCAACTCAACCTTGCCAAGTGCTTGTGGTTTCAACAAACCATCCAGTTAAGCACATTAACCATAACTCCTTCAAAAACAGCCAGAAACCTTGGAGATGTGATTGATGATCAGCTGAATTTCTCAGACCACACTGCTAAAACTGCCTGTTCCTGCAGATTTACTTTATACAACATTAGGAAGATCAGGCCAGTAATGAATTTAGGTAAATGGGTGCAGAGCCAGTGGTGGTTTTGTAGGCAAACATCAATGCCTTGAATTATTGAAACAGATTGTACATGTACCTTATTACATAGGAAAATGAAAGCAAATATTTAAATTTCAATGTAGGCACCGGTGGCGTCAAACATTTTCCTCAAATGGCCGGTAATGGAATACAGTCTTCTGCGGGTAAACATTTCTTGCACTGTCGCCACATTCTCTGCGGACCGTAATGTGGATGGGCGGCCACTTCTTGCATCGTTCACCGAGCCTGTGGTCATCAGCTTTACATGACAATTTTCTATTGTCTTCGGACGTAGTGTTTCATTCCTAATATATATTTATATATATATTAGGGATGTAATGGTACACGTATTCGTACTGAAAATTTTCGATACGGGTCTTTCGGTTTGGTAATTATGTGTACCAAACAAATCGTTCCATTTTTTTCAGGAAATTCAGACAATAAATGGCATTTTGGCACTTTTTGATGTGGCTGTATAATACTAATAAGACATATAGCTGTATAAACGCCTCAGTTCTGACGGCAGCGTGGAGCGCAAGTGAGCGCAATCATCCCTTCCTCTCTATTAGCCTACTAGTTTTAATGCGAAATAAACATGAATTGACATCTCACCCCTCATGTAATCGCTCAATTAGCATTTCAACCGCGGAAAGACCTTTAAAACAGCTTGTAAACAAAATGTCACGTAGCATTTCATTTACCTCAGAAAAGTCATATATGTCTACAGTCTATTTGCTAGAGAAATTAAGTCTATAGTGAAGAGCATTTGTAAATTTATATTTCAACAACAAATAGAAATTGTATAATTTAGAAGTTAATATACAAACATATTTTTTTTTTATTTGAGTGTTAATTCTTATAGTTAAAAATAAATAGTAATTGATTTTAAGTTTGGGCTCTGTTGTTAATTGTAACCTTTT